TGAGACGGTTACACAAGGACGGTCAGGCTACGGTCAGGAAGTACGTTTGAGTTCACATTTTGGCAGAGAGATTTTTAGCGGAGCTTCCCGCTCCGCCACAGCCGCACATGCCGCTCCTGGAGGTCCGCCGGGACGTCTGCCTGGCCCACTACTCGTGCGGCGGCGACGTGGCCCGGCTTCGCCTCGTCCGCCGCTCCTCGCTCGGCGCAGGCGCGAGCGTCTTGACCCGGCCGGGACTAACGGTGGCGGTGGCGTCAAAGCACGGGACGTCGCTCGACTGGTCCAACCTGGCCCACTGGGCATCGGCGTGCGTGCTGGTCGCGGCTGCGGCGCGGTCCGAGCTTCCCGGCCTCGGCCGCTTTGGTGCGGCGCTGGCAGCGCGTGCCGCCGAGGCGGTCTGGGTGGCGCTGCCTCAGGTCGCCTCCAACCGGACGGCGTGCGGCGGCGCCTCTGGCCTTCCCGCTCTGGTCTCGCGCGGCGAGCCGTCCGAGATGTTTGCCCTGCTCGCCCTCGCCAGCGCCCGCGTGGCGGTGGAGGCGCTGGGCAACGGGTCCGCTCCCTCGCGGGCGGCGGCGGCGGCAATCGGCGGGAAGTCGGTGCTCCTGTGCCGCGACATCGCGCCGGGGCCGCGAGCGTACACCTGCTTCGACGCGCTTATCCGCGCGAGGTGGTCCGACGCTGCGCTCGGCGGCCGGCACGCGATGCTCGATGCGCTGGAGGCGGTGTCGGGGCGCGCCGGCGCCGCCGCCCGCGCGGCGACGGGGGAGGCGCTGCGCTCGCAGGCGCGCGCGCTGCTCGGGCTGCCGGCGGCGGCGCCCGAGGCCGGCGGGCGGAGGGTCATCGTGCTGCTCACGCGCCGGACGCAGAGCGCATGGGTGAACCGGCCGTCGGTGGCTCGCGCGGTGTCGCTTGCGGCTCGCGCAGCGGGGGTGCGCTTCGAGGACGCGGGCGACGCGGAGGACTTGGGCCGGGGTCCGGGAGGCTGCTACGGCGCCGCGGCGCAGGTACGGCTCTGGTCGCGCGCCTGGCTGGTGGTCTCTGTGGCTGGCGCGCACGAGGCCAATGCGGTCTGGCTTGCGTGCGGCTCGGCGGGGCTGCTCGAGTCGCTGAACTGCGGGCACGCGACGGGGACGTACCGCGCGCTCGCCGCGGCGACGGGAGGGCGGTACGCCGCCGCGAGCGAGGTGCGGCAGCAGGGCCACCGCTGGCTGAGGAGCGCGAGCCGGCCGCTGCTCGACCAGGCGTGCGTCCACCTCGGCCTGCGCAGAGGCTGCCGCGCGGAAGAGGTGCTGGCGGCGAGGCCCCGCCTGTACGAGCGGAAGAACTGCACCGCGCAGAGACGCAGCGACGCGCTCTACTTCAACCTGCCGCGCGTGCACGACCTCGAGGGCGGCGAGACCGCGGACCTGCTAGCGGCGCTGCACCGCATCCTCGGCCTGAGCCCGCCGTGGGCGCGGCCACACCTAGGGCCACACGCGCGCCGCCGCGAGCAGCGGCGCCGCGCCGGCCATGAAACAGGACGGAAGGGCGGGGAGAGACGCGGACGGGGCGGGGGTGCGGCGGCGAGCCAGCGCACACTTCCGAAACAGCGTGGCAGCAGCCAGCACATAGACGAGGCAGGGTGATAGCACGAGGGGGCGACCCATGTCCATGTGACCGGGTGCGCGAACGATGTGCCATATTTATATCTTCCGTCAGTTACAGACCGCTCTACAAACTCGAACCCGGGTGGGAGGGTCACGCGGTCCCGCTCCCGCGGCGGGCCAAACCGCCACCGCGCGCGCCCCACGCACACACTCAAATCAGAGCCCCTCTCGGGGCTCTCTCGCTCTCACCTCTCGTCTCTCGACCACAGATTCCACAGCCGTCCCTGCCTCGCTTCCCGGTGCTTCGCGGCGCCGGCTCGCAAGGCGAGAGAGCCAGCCCGGTTGTCGCGAGGCCACGAGGGCAGCAGCCCGCACAGGAAGCGGCGCGAGAGAGCGTCCGAGCGAGCGTCACGACGGCTTCTTGGTCACCCCCTCGACCCACGCGTGCGTAGCGTTGCGCCGCTCTCCGCCCCTCGCGCCCCTCCGCTTTAGCCCTCCGAAGCCTTTACCGCCGCCGCCCTTGCCCTTGTGCAGCTGCTGCAGTCCCCCGGCCGGCGGCGGTGCCGCCGCCGCGGCTCCTCCTCCTGGCGGTCCAAAGGCGGCGAGCCATCCGAGCGCGAGCGCCGTGAGCAGCATGCCGGTGAGCAGGAGGAAGCGCCAGTTCTTTGGGTCGCTCTTCCGCTTCCGTCCCAGCAGCGAGATGCCGTCGTCCCCGTCCGCGGTGCTGTAGGCGCCGCCTGCCCGCGGCGTCTCGCTGCGCAGCCCGCCGCCGGCCGCGCCGTCGCCGTGGACCGTGTCCAGGCTGGACATGATCAGCCGCGCGTGCACCGGCTTCACGCCAGCTTTCACTAGATCCTCCTCGGGTCGGCCCTTGAGCCGCGAGAGCGAGCCCAGACCGCCCGCCACGAGCGCCTCCTCCGAGCCCGCACAGCCAATCATGCTGAGGAAGGAGGCGAGGCGCTGGCGCTCCTGCTCCTCCTCCGAGAGCGGCGCGCTGTGAGCGCTCTGCTGGAGGCTCGACAGGATCAGCTTCGCGTGCAGAGGCTTGACGTTGCAGTCAAGCAGCTCCTCATACGTCGCCTCCCGCAGGGAGTCGACCGACATGTAAAACCCGTTGTATATCAGCGCCGAAGTGTACTCCTCCATCCCCTGCGCCTTGAGAAAATCTCGCACCTCCTGCTCGCCCGACATAGCTGCCGACATGATGGTTTGAGCTTGGGTGGTGCGAGTCGTGCCGGGGCGGCCGCGCGGGCAGGCGGGCTACGTCAGGCGTCCAACAGAAGAAAGACCACCTATTGATGAGCACTTGAGCACTTGATAGGGTCGATTCCGCATGGTACGGGACCCCTCCGATCGTCTCGCCCTCCCTCACTGGTGTGTTCATTGGGGGGGGTCATAACAAACACGGTACAGGATCGAGGTGCACGCTGCCGAGGCAGTACAGTGTCGTCCCCCCTCTCCCCGACGGCGATGGCGGTGTGACCGATCGAGCTACAAGAGGAACTTGTTCAGCAGGATCCGGGATAGTCAGATGCACTATCTCACTGGGCCTGAGACCACCACACGACCCTCCCATCACCGTCTCGGATTTATGTGGAGTCGAACCACTCCGGGATGGGCAAGCCCTGGATGTGCGGTTGATAACTGCACTCCAAGTGCTCCAAGTGCGCAACTAAATGATCGCAGTGGGCGTCAGAAGAGTCGTCCTTGCGCGAGGAGAGCTCGATAGACCTCGAGGGGCCAAGATATGCTGCGAGGAGGGCGGGGAGTTGCGCCGAAAGGCACTTGGAGCACTTGGAGAAAGAAGCCGCGAGAACAAGGGACCGGCAGGCGGCGGCGGCGTCGGGCATGAAGGTCGCAGCAAGAATCGGAGAGAGAAACTGCGAAGAGAGATAGGAAGAGGCGGACGCCCAAGGGTGGGCGATGGCTAGCGCATCACACCCCTCTCCTTAAAATCCCTGTGTGGTGGCGGCGTGCCGTCCTCCCTCCCTCCCTTGGGTTGTCGATTTTCTTTTTTCTTTTTTCCCTTGTGGTGGCGGCGTGCCGTCCTCCCATCCCTCCCTTGGCTTGCATGTTGTTTTCTTTCCTTGTTTCGTAAGATTCTTTCCTTGATATGGAGCACTTGGAGTGCAGTTATCAACCTCACATCCAGGGCCGGGGAGCTAAGAAGCGCACCCAGCGAGCCGGATGATCGGCATCGGGCTACGGGCTAGAGAGCCCTGAACCCTAGCTAGGGGGGGGGTGCGCATTCGCAGGGAAAGGGCCGTAAAGTAAACACGGGTCTCCGAGAGGGCTCCGTGTACCGGGTTTCCCCTTAACTGCAGAACGCCCCCTCTACTCGGAGCTAGTGGACACGGACACTACACACATGTTTTCTTTCTTTTTCTACTCGGAGCCAGTGATACGAGAATACGCACATGTTACAAACGATAATACAAGAATATTACGCAGCTTGGAAGTTGCAGACGCCTATAAAGAAAAAAAAGCAACCTAAGAAGTTCTTTTCCTTTTGAGCTTTTCCTTTTTCCCTTGCGCTGCGCGCCGCGAGGATGAGCCTGAGCCAGGGGAGGCGGGAGGGTTGGGAAGGGGGGGCGAGGTGCGCGTGCTCAGTTGAAGTTCCGGAGTAAAATTCGAACGCGTTCTCTCACGGTGACCAAAAAATGTCCACCTCAGAGTCCGGAGGCAGGCCGCCGCACGCCGGCGACACAGCTCCAGCTGTCGAACTGACCCGCAGCTCCTCTCAGAGCGGGAACTGTGTCACAAATTGACTGAGGCGGTTGTCAGGAATCATCATACGGATCACATGGTGGCTCTCTCATGACGGGAGGCCGCCCGACCACTCCTGGGTGGCACTGCCACCGGTGTCGCTCGACGTCCTGTCGACAGCGTGCCGACAGCGACACAGACCATGTGGGACGCGTCGAGTATCGACCTCTACTGCTTACCCAGCCTTCGAGTGTATCCTGGCTGTGGTCCCACACCCACTGGTGTCCACCTCAGAGACCGCAGGTGGAGGTCATGAGGGTCGATGGGAGATGGGAGTGCCAACGTACCCCCCAACAATCCTCAATCGAATGGGCAATGCCAATGGGGACAAATTGACAATGCCTAAATTGTAAATAGACCCACCAGCCCAGTGTACAGTTTTTACAACCTCTGCATGTGGTGGTGTCTCGCTGCGGACTCGCGCGATCCATGTGCTCCACTCTCTGACTCACTCACTCTCGCGCCACCTGTGGCTGTGCCGGTGTTGGCGTGTCCGTCACACAGTGGGCGCACCGTGATCCGCGTGGTCCTGTGCGTACCGCTGCCGCCGCGCCCCTGTGATCGCCCCTCACCGTGCGTGCGTGCCCGCCGTGCCCCCCCCCCCTCCCCTCTGCGGCGCGCACCCTCCGCCCCGCCCGGCGGAGCCGCTCAGTCGCCGTCGCTGTCGAGGGCGGCGAGCGCCTTGTCATAGTCGCTGTCCTTGAGCGAGTCGTCGCGCGTGCATGGCACCGCCTCCTGCAGCGCCGCGCCGCAAAACTGGTGCTGGAGCACCTCCTCGAGCACCTAATTCGCAGTGAATGAGTAGTTGAATCGTAGTTAATTAGAGCTGGTGCTGGAGCACCTCCTCG